CAATAATAATAATAAGCAAAGATGACAAACATTTGGAAAAATAAAGCAGCCAAATCTTTTAAAATAAATCAAACAGGAAGTCGTTTTTATCCAAGTCTGGTTTAAACAGATGTGAACTCTGTTAAAATTTGTTCCAAAAATAGGTGGAACATCAAGATTATCATTATTTCTTTATTTGAAAGCAAAGGTCCTTACTTTTATCCTTTGACTTTGTGCTGTTTTTCGTGTGGTATTTTTTTACTTTTACTTAGTTTTTGTTTCACCCCCCAAGTACTTTTTTCTAGCTGTGACTATTTTAGGATAAATGAATTATATTACCATGGATTTTTGGAGAGTGCACTTCAAAACTAAAAACACTCTAGTTCGAGTTCTCTCTTTGTTTGTATTTAGTGGCCTGAGTCAGATAGTATAGAAGATAATGKTTTATTTATTAAATATATTCTGACTCCAAGTTTTCTTGAAAATGATACTTTGATCTCATCAAAGAATGAGTAACTGAATCTCCCCGATAAGGCCACTTCTTTTAAATTTAAATGACATCAATAAGAAAGATTTTCTATTTTCTTTAAAAAGGATCAAATTTTCAGCCGTTACCATCAAATCTAAGGTAGACCAGACAGGAATTCAAACCTTTCTTTTAACTCTTTTAAAAGTCTGCGGATACATTTATAACTTTTGGAGAAACTCAGCTGGTCCCATTTTGCTGCTGCAGCTAAATTTATAAAGTTGCAAAAAAAAAAACTATATTTTGTTCACCACACAAATTAAAAGAAGAAGAAGAAAAAATGCTGAAGTCTGAATGCATGTGKCTCCTTATGGGGTAAAGGAAGAGATGCGTGGAAGATTACTCCCACCTGCCAGAAGAGACCAGCTCTGTGTGAGGGGACAAGGAGACATGTCCCACACTGGAGGGAGGACACTTCCGGACCACTCTGGTTCGATTGGCAGCTGTCGAACAGCTGGTGGCTATCTCTGCCAGCTGTTGCTCAACTCTAACTGCCTGAGCGGCTGGCCTTTCTCCTCCTGGCCCTGCAGGTAGCTGGCCTTGGGAAACTCCTTCGTCCTATTGGCCGGGTGGCTCTCTGGAGGGGACCGGCGAGCCACGTCGGGCGAGCGCTGCCTGAGGTGGTGCAGGGAGGGCGAGGGAGGCGAGGACATGTGGTCAGGAGAGCTGCGCTCAGATTTGATGCTGAGGTTGAAGGAGGGCAGATGTGAGGAGTTTGAGGAGCACGGCTGGGAAGGGAAGGAGCACCCCCCGCTGGACATTCTGGGAACAGCAAGGAAAAGAAAACCAGGTCAGCATTTGTTTTAGCATTATAAAGATTTAAAAACAGAGCATAATTTCTAAACCATAAAAGTGTTAAATTGTCTGTTAGTAAAATATCCAACCACTGAATATATTTTTTTAAATCTCAGAAGGTAATCACTGAATGCACATCTACAGCCAGTTCAAGATGGCTGCTACCACTAATCAGTCTTATCAAACACAAACTGACCTATAGATTATAATGTAAAGATATTGYGCTAAAGTTTGGGGTGGTAGTAACTGACAATCAACCCCAACACATTAAAGAAAACTAAGAGCTCATGGAAGATCTTTGTCTAAAACTTTGGCAGGACTGGAGTCAACCCTGGAGGATGGAGACTGATGAAGTGATTCAACGCAGCCAGCTGGTTTCTTTTTTAGATTGTTATTTTTATGTACAGTGCTCTGAGACAATGTATGTTGTGACTTGGCGCTATATAAATAAACTTGAATTTGAACCCTGTGTATCTCATGTAACTCTTCAAATGCACATCTATAACTGACTGAAGTTTGCAGAAATTTTGACTGAAAATGACCTCTGAATCCAAACAACCTTAGCAAACACAAAGATAGTAAATTTATCTCAGGAAAATTTACCACTAATGGGCTCATATTTGTTGCTGAAAGTCGTTTCTATKTGTTTGACGAGCTGATTACTCATGAATGTTTTGTCGTCTGATGATTCCAGCCATGGCCGGCCTGTGGCATAGGCAGTGTAGGCAAATGCAAAGAGCACAGTTCGTCTAAGGGGCATCACAAATGGGAAATAAAAAAATTGTTTAATTTTTTATCAAAGTATAGTTCATTTAGAATAATCACTGGTTACTCTGGTTATAGTAATTTGTTCTGTGGGTTTTTTGGCTGCTTTGTTCCTACATGAGGTKTTATATGATGCAGTGGATATTTCATGATAAAAGTATCATATGATGCAGTCAAGACTAAGTACTGGTGTTCAGRGTGTAAACAGAAAACAAAATCAAGATGATGGAAGTATCAGTTCTGATCTCAGATAAAGTTCAGGTTAAAGTTTGGCTTTCACAGTTCTACTTTCATAAAATACGAGTTTTATGTTGTTTTATTAATCCTGAGAATTTAGAGAAAACTCTTCAAATGGCTGGAAAATGTATAGTTTTGAGTAGATATTTTACAAAATTTTCTTGTGGAGCATACCCCTGGACCCCCCCTAGAACTGCTTCACTCCACAGCTGCTGGTTAACATGAACAGGTGYTCCTGCTGTCAGCAGATGTTGGCAGGTATGAGGTAGATGCCTGGTATTCTGTTTCAAATAAATTATGTTGTAACAGTTTTAATTGGACAACCTGTTTTCTAAAGACAAAAAATAACATCAATAACAAAACTTTTTATTTTGACGTGAATGGATGTAAACTGGCAGTGAGGTTTAGAAAACTGTACAAGGGGTGCCCCCTGAAACTTGCCTTRGGCGCCAAATTGGCTAGGACCGGCCCTGATTCCAGCAGGTAAATATCAGCTAAACGAAAAGATCCTGTGGAAATTTGACTTTTTGAAGAGAAACACACCCAATATGTTTTTCTTTAGTAGTGGATACCGAACCACAAACACAGCAGAGTTGAGTCAATTTGTCACCTAATAATAGTTAAAGATGACGTTGTTTTCGGTTTAATTTTCCTTGAAGCAAGTCGCTTGTCTCATATTTCCTCTCTGTAACTTGATGCAAACCAGACCTTCCTCTTTTTCATGACAGGACACAAACAGTTAACTGTTTTTCAGACTTTGTGTCATCCATCTTCTAAATACGACTCTGAACAAATGTACTTAATGCATCATTGTTCCTGTTTAATGTACACTCTTGCAAAGCTGCAAAACTCTTATCGTTTGTGTTTGCTTCCTATACAGAGGATTCACAGAATCTGCAAAATGCTAAAATAAAACCACACTGCCCATGTCATTGCAATTTTATATTCTTCTAAAACACACAGAAACAAACAACAAAAAAAGACAACATTGGAGCAAGAGTCCTCTGATCAGCACACAGCTGCAAAATGAGCATGCTACATTTTCAATAACTACTATAATATCTGCTTACCCTGAACTTATATGAGGCCCATGAGACTCATGAGATGCTTGTGTTGGTTGCCARGGATTTACCATTCCTCTCTGTAAACTTACAGAGTGGTAAAAACCAGACTGGCTGTAATCTGGAGCAAAGGAACACAGGGAAATTTGGGCTTAAACAAAGTCACAAGTGGATTTAACAAAACAGCTTCAATCTACAAAAAGAACAGTTCAGTTCAATATTTTGGCTTTTCATCCTAGAACTGTAAAACTGATTAACTGGAYGGCTTATCACAACACTTATTTTAACAAGGAATGTGTACGTGAAGTATCAGTAAAAAAGAATGAAAACATATTCCACTAGAGAACTTGCATTTTCACAGAAAATGAAATTAATAAATAAATTAATTAATAAATAATATATATTTTGCTATTTGTTGTAAAATAGCCAAAAAAGCTGAAAATAGCTGAAAAGTTGCTAAAACGTAGGAAATACTGAATCTAGCAGAGAGATTTTTTTCTGAATTTACTTAAAGAAGTATAAAATCATCACGAAAAARGTTAATTTAGCTTAACAAGGCTAACATTAGCTGAAAGTAGCTAAAAAGCAGCTTAAATTGTAGAAAACAGTTGACAGATACAGAAAAGCTTAAAGAGGCTGATAGAAGCACAAACAAATTAATTAGCAGAAATAGCTGAAAAGACTAGAAAGATAGCTGAAAAAAGCAGAAAAAAGATATTAGCTAAAAGAAGCTGAGAGAAACTAAAACTAGCTCAAAAAAGTTTAAAATAAGCAAAACCAGAACAAAAGGTGTAAAACTATTTTAAGGATTTTCAAGGACGTTGAAAACAGCTTCAAACTTTAATGAGAAAAAGTGGCCAAAAAAAATCTAAAAATCTCAAAAAGTATAAATTGCTGAAAAACCAAAAGCCGTCTCCTGAATGTCCCCAAGGAGCTGAACGTTTTGATAAATGAATTGTTGAAATAGCAACAAAATCGTGGAACCTGATATGTGCCGAAAAATGTATGGAAGAAAACTAGATTATCTCAGTAGTTAATATGAATGAATACGTTTATCGTTGAATATTTTGACAATATTGCRTTTTTTTATTTTGTTATATAAATGAGTGTTTGTTTATATATCTGAAAAATTATACAACCACTTAAARCTTACAAAACAAGTGATTTTAACATTATGAATGCAATTTTAGTCTGTTCAAAATACAGTAAAATTCTTGGATTTAAAATTCTTCATGTGACTACTTTGCTATCGTCATTTCAGATTCTCAGATTAGCAAACATATTATCAGTCTGGTCTGAATTAAATTACATTTTTCAACATTGAGGCCATTCAAAGTGCTRTCTATGAYAGGTAAGATATTATTTCRTATCCTTTCTACAACCAAATATGTGAACTATTGCTCTAACGTGCCATCTCTTATCTATGAGCTGTGAATTCATATTTTCCCCACAGATTCCAACAAACATACCAGAGGTTCCAGAGGAGGGAAGGCCGTATCCTCCCAAACTGTGACTCAAGAAGCCTGCCTTRCCCATGGCTACCATGGAGCTGCCGCCGTGCACGCCCTGGTACAAGAGGCCCCTCTGATGAGCAGAGAAACACAAACCAGCATTCAAAAATCTGTCACAGTGATGTCACCGAGTAACATTCTAATYATGAGARGYGCGATTGAGTAAAAAACAAAACAAAACTCAAATAGTTACAACTTAGCAGAAGTGTGTCTGCGTACTGGGGAAAATGTACTTTTGTTTCAAAAAAAGACACTTTGTGATCAGTTCAAYGACACTCATTATGTTGGACCCATTGGATACACAACCCCTGGTTATTAAAAAAAAAAGATGGAATCACCACTCTTAAAGGATGTTCTTTCAATAATTAATTTATAATTATTATTATTTTTCAAAAGTTTAACCTTCTGGCTTAAAAAAAACATTAATAAAAGTGATATATAATTG